TGCCACGAAATCTGCACATGGAGGTTCACAAAGTGCTGCGCCTGCCAAGAAATCTGCACTTCAAGAAACAAGTGAAAACTCTAACCACAATGGAGGGACGATTCCGACCATGATCCGAGAGAATGATCCGAGCATGACCCGAGACCGTCTCGCACATGTCGTTCCGCAAAGCTTGACTTGCAAGCTTTGGAGCCACCCTTTCTATTGGAAAACACAGCACTTCGTGCGTCCGCTATCTCTCGAAAACGCATTTGGTATTGCGCCTGCCACGAAATCTGCACCTGGAGGATCACAAAGTGCTGTGCCTGCCACGAACTCTGCACATGGAGGTTCACAAAGTGCTGTGCCTGCCATGAAACCTGCACATGGAGCTAACTGGAGCTAGAGCTATTGAAACTAGAGCTACCTGGAGCTAGAGGTAAACTGGAGCATAGCAATTGAAACTAGAGCTAACTGGAGCTAGAGCTATTGAGACTAGAGCTACCTGGAGCTAGAGCTATTGCAACTAGAGCTACCTGGAGCTAGAACTCTTGAAACTAGAGCTAGCTGGAGCTAGAGCTCTTGAAACTAGAGGTAACTGAATGATGAGTGGTGCATGATAAGTGGTGTATGATGAGTGGTGTATGAAGTAACTGGATGATGAGTGGTGCATGATAAGTGGTGTATGATGAGTGGTGTATGATAAGTGGTGTATGATGAGTGGTGTATGATCAGTGGTGTATGTATGATGAGTGGTGTATGATGAGTGGTGTATGATGAGTGGTGTATGATAAGTGGTGTATGATGAGTGGTGTATGTATGATGAGTGGTGTATGTATGATGAGTGGTGTATGATGAGTGGTGTACTGAACAGCTGTTGAATGTCCGTAACAGGGAAGTTTTGCACACTAAACTTCCTTTGATGATTTTAGTTGCTTTATGATTTTAAATGATTTTAACATATTCTAATTGAATTCATATGATTAGTACCGAGGGCGCCCCCGAGGCCGCCCGCGAAGCACGGCAGCAGAGCTGGGGCTCAGCGGTCGGAAGGAAGGACCCTATTGGTCTCAGTCCACCCTGTCAGAAGCTACGCCCACTTGATGCACATCTGTCTGGAAGATCCGAAGTTCGGTGATTCAGTTCAGGTTCGCAATCCGCATGAGTTCGGATCTGATCCCAGTTTTTGTCACTGGCAAGAAGTTTTTTCCAAACCTGCTGGTTCTCAAAGACTTTTTGGACCACTTCTTCAATTCTGGAAGCGTACCCACCGATCGCTGGTGGTTCACTGGGATGCTTCTTCTTCCACCCTCCGAACCAGTCTGGGCCGCCGGGCTCATCTTTACCAGAGACTTGTCGCTTCTTCCGCATACGCCTCAAGAGATCGATCTGAAGGGTGCCCATGAGTCACTTGGAGGAGAGGGGCTGCCGATCCAGTCACTGGATGGGACATCCACACAACCCCTTTTGTGCCCCAACAAGAGTACGTGTCCCAATTTCAAGGACCTTCGCCTGGCCTGAGCACGGCTCTGGAGCACTCACATGCAAAGCGCTATGCCTCAGAGTGTTTTTTTCCCGAAGGTCTCTGTATCCAAGGCATCAAAGGGAGTCAGAACGGGGACATACCGTCGGACATACCATAAAACCGGGTCCCTCCACCAATGAAGCCGTGCTTTCAAAACTCTGTTTGCCCAAACAAATGAAGAAACACCATAATTAACCACACTTCAGGTCGTTCTACTTTCCTATCGATGTTGGGACCTCCAACAAGCTGCACGGCGCGGCTCCCCGCAGGTTCTCAGGTCCGCTCCCATCGTCCAGTCTCCGGATCTGTCGAGGCATCGGGTGCCAGTGAGTCCGGCAGCCTGTTCGACCTCCTGTTTCAACAGATAATCGAAGAAGCTCGAAGACACTCGGACTGTGTTGGCATTCCAGGACGGCAGGAATAAGCTACTTACTCTGACAGCAGGAATGAGTCACTTCATCTGGAAGACGATTCCATGGAACCTGAACACCCCTGGTTGGTAGAGGACAATCGTCTTCCGGACCAGACAGTCAGGGTCTATGTGAGTTAAGCAGGGGGTGTACTTCATCTGCTTGGCATTCCGTCAATGAAGGCGACCTCCCGGGGCCAGCCAGCTGCCTCCAGTGAAGTTTGGGTACCAAGTGATGCACCGTTAGGTCGCGGTCCAAGCCTGGCGCAGATCAGCGAAACCGTCGTGTGACTCTGTTCCTCAGTTCTTAAACAATCTTAGAACTTTTCGAAGTGGATCACTGGAAAGTGCACCTCATCCCTGCAGTTTTTGCTTTGGTTTTTGCATCGTGCTCAAGTTGCAGCCCTGGGACTTCCTTGTTTTCTCATCATGTTTCACACATTTCACAGCTGGTATGTTTTCAATATCTTGTTTTTGAGCCCTCTCATCAACACCTTTAAACTTTAAACATTTTCAACCCAGTTCAGCTGACGTTCAGCTGACGCTCACGTCCGTGAAGGAACAGATGAGAGATGGACGGCAAGGACAAGCAGAATCGACGGGTTCAAAACACTGTACCGGCAGACTGCCGACGGACACCCAAAGGGGTACAAGCCTACCAGGCCGGTCTTTCTACCAGCGCTAACCTTTCATAATGCTCCGCCGCGTCGCCAGTTCCGGCCTCAAGTCGGTTCCGAAGAACAGGTCACCAATGGAGATCTGTGAAGGGCACCCTCCAAAACCGGATCCGCTTTCGTACCGAACCTGATCGGTTCGGTGTCGAACAGAGACACGTGTCGCGGTGTCGCAGCTACATGTCGCCGTACGAACACATCACCGAGGTTCGGTACGAAAACGGATCCCTAAGGGAACGAGACCCAAGCGGTGTCGGTGCCGCCGTTCCTTTGGACCTGCAGAGCTGCCGATGAGCTCATCCATCTATATGGACTGGACCGTCGTTCGAAGACGCACCGCAAACAGGCGCCGGTTGGATTTGGATGTCTCCCTCCCATCCAAAAACACACCCAACCCAGCAAGTGGATTGAGATATTGACATTCAAACGACTGGAACCTCAAGGAAAGCCCGGCCGCGATACGGCATACCCCCCCTCGGTTCTCTCTGAGATTGGAGTAAAAAGCCTCTTCCAACCGACAGGTGGCGCACCACACAGCTCGCAAGCGCCGTCAACCCCTTCGTTGGTGTTCAAGTAGCGTCCGGTGTTCCTGGACGCGGTCCGATCCGGACGCAAACATCATGGAGGTACAAGTACCCTGGGAGTCAAGGAGTATAAAAAGAATTTGTCTTTACGGAACTTGAAAGGGAATTTTCTTCACTTCACTAAGAACAAGGAGTTATAGTCTCGGGACCACTTCTAGGGGATACAAAAATTGAGCCATTCGAGTGGAGGGACATGTTGGACGAGTCTGATGAGACAGGATGATACAGGATGATAGCCTAAGATAGCCTAAGAAGTCGTCCTTGAGCATCATGATGTTGTGGAAGATAGATGACATCGGCACGGTTTATTGGATGTGCACTCGGCATGGTTTGTTGATCAGTTCCGAAAGTGCAGTTGGAAGGTGTTTCAAGCAATTCCATTAAACAAGACATTGACTCTATTTCTGGAGGAGAGTACTGTAGATTACCTAGACTAGACTTGGGAAACAACACACATGAGTGAAATTATCCTAATTACTATTAATATCAAAATAATATAAACTTTAAGTGAATTGCGAAATGTAGTTTAGACATTTAGACTCTATAGTTCACACAATATTGTTCCTGCAAAAGGAAGGGACAATATAATAATTCCAAACTCTTAGTTTTTAACCCCAAACACGTTTCTCATCAGCCGTACATAGAAGTACTGCACATCTTTCAACTTCATCTACCGGCAACAAGAACCAGCGAAATCCATGCAAACATTCCTCTCCAAACTGGGAGATTAGTGATAATTGATCGATCTGATATCTATGTGTTTCTCCATGGTGTTCGAGATTTGAGCAGTATGAAGCTATTTTGCCCCCCCAAAACAGACGGATACAAAAGGTATGAAAGTCGCTTTCACATGACGAAGGTCCGCAGCCACTCTACGCCCCACCTGGCTGATCGTTGTGTGGCCACTGGTCGGTGGAATACCGTGCCGCGTGTTCTGCGTGCAGTGTGCGCAGCTCCGCACAGGAGCGCGGCACGGAAAAACAGCACGCCGCCTGCGGAAACGTGAGCAAAAAGGGATAAGAGAAAACGCCACACTTCCCAGACTTTTCAAAGTAATAGTCACATGAAAACACCATGAAACCAAATCATGGTCGCAGCGGTCGCTTTGTAAATGAGATAGTTATGGAGCAGGAACAACACAATCACAAACATCCCACGGTCAGCCGGTGTGCTACGCCGCTCACGATCTTCGGGGGGTGAAGTCGTTGGAAGTCTGAAGAGGTCCAGTCGTCAAACACAAACGATCGAGGCTGACGACCAATCAGGCCAAAGGGTTTTCTTGTCTTCAGGCGGTCCATGCATATATATATATATAAACATATTATATGTATATTTATTTTAAATGTAACTTATTGATATGCCAGTCTCAGCCGAGTCCTGTGTATGAAACAGATTCGATACGACACCATACGACACCTTGCAGGCGGTCACCAGCCAGGACAAACCTGTAGATATGTAGGTCTGCAGCCACGGGATGTCCCGACTGTCACCCGAAGCGTCAAGTCTTTGACCTCTGGAGAACTTCAACACCAGACTCCGCAACACACCTCGAGAAATAGGCTCCTAGGAGCAATATTCAGGGTGGATCTCGGTGCATGAGTCCTTTAGAGTTAGATACTGCAATACAGGTGTAGAGCGCGTCCGACAAACAGTACGGTGTACATCACTGTCCGACAAACAGTATGGTTCACGTCACTGACTGAAGAAGGTGCAGGTACGTCACTGGACGTCTCCAGTGATATCCTCAAGACAGTGCAAATAGCTTTGCTAAGTGGAGCTCTGCAGGCCTGCTCCACTGCCCTGCTGGGTAGAATAGTGAGTAGGAGTAAGTAGGTTCCCTGGAAACGGGCGTTGACACACACTCAAGACAATGCGTACGGAAATTGAATGCCACATGCCACACGCCCACCTAGGTATGAAAGCCTAAGAAGACAGGTCAGAAGTATGCAAGACGGTTTGGCCATGAACCTGAAATCCTCAATCCTCAACATCCAAATCACGAACTTGAAGAGGCCGACGAGAAATCGAGCGACTAGTTCTTGTCTGCCAATAGTGAACCGCTGCAAATGCTGAAAGCATTGTTCTAATTACAAGCAGGGCATAAGGAAATGAGCTTTAGCACTCGAGCAGGTACAGCTGATCAGGTTGCAAACCCTGAGGTCTCCATAGAGAGCTTCGTTGGGCACAGCTCTATGGGCCTCCTGTGCCTTTTCCCACTTTCCAAAAATGTCTCAGTTATCTAAGAACCGGTTCAATCTATGCTCGACTGGGATTCCAAGTATGATTCTGTCCACACACATGATTGTTGTGGAATGGCCGCCTCCTGTCACACTGCCTGACGCAAGAAATAGCACATGTCGGACAGTTGTGACTGCAATATATAACCACTCCTGCAGGTACGGAGGATGCGAAGTATTGGCACGTGCAGCTGAAGCCTGACATCCAGCTGAGTTTCCTCCAATGTTCGATCCAGGAGCCGTTGCCATTGAAGGAAGAGGTGAGGTGGCAGGGCTGGTGTTTGTCCATGTTGCTGGGATTCCTGCTTTCCCTTCAGTTCCAGTTTGGCTCTGCTCCAAACCATGTGCCATTGATGAACATGAATTGATATCTCCCTCAAAGGTTGTGGCCCCAAGTGGCCACAACAAACGCGCCAACGTAAATATACCCCTGCTCCAAAACTGCTAGTTGAGTACAAACACAAACACAAATTCAAAGGAATCCCTGTGATTCCAAGGGTTTCACACACACACACACACTTAGATCCATGCTCGCAAGAGCTGAACCAGCTATGGCAAGCCTCTCTAGTGATTACATTGCCGGCTTAGAGCGCTGGAAGCCTGAAACCTGAAAAGCAGCCCTGAGAGGGAACGGAAAGGTGAATGGGTCCAAAACAATATTGTATACGCCATCGAAAGAAGAAGATTCAAAGAAGGAAGAGGTGGTCACCAGCTGCGACTTATACTGCGCCCAACTGCCCCACTGCAGGTACGTTTGCACGTCCGAACTTTCACGGTCTTCGTTGGCTCTGGCGTGAAGGTGGACCCAGAGCCCCCTGCTGAACTGTACAAGTTAGTTAGTTGTGTCAGCTGTCCTTATCAACAGGACTTGACACACACACACACACACACACGCACTGACACACAGAATCCGAAGACAACTAGACAACCCCCCTAGGGCTCCTATCTCACATCCTCAGTGGCTGGGGGTGGCTGGGGATGGCTGATTTAGGGTGTCCAACGATGTGGATGTGGCCCTCGGGGCTTATGACATCTTATGACTCCGTGCATACACAGAGACACCCCCGAGACAGATCGACGCCGGCCTTCCGCGTGAAGTCCGTGGTTCGTCCAAAGCTGGACCGGCCTAGAGAAGCACCCGACGGCGATGGAGCGCTGAGAAGCACCCGGTGGTTGACGTTAAACTCTTACAGGAAAGAAGTGTAGGGTGTAACACGTGCATGTTGCAGGTGTAACTCCTTGAACCCTCATCAAGGGCCTAGATGAGAAATAAGATGACATGAGCTTCCTCAGCCAGGGTGAGGGGGATCTGCATGCAAGGGCCTACATCACGGCCCATCATCATCAGGCCTACATCTGATCCCAAATGCGTGACACACGCGACGCAACGAGAAGAACCAAACCTTCGGACGGTGTCACGGGCGTGTCATGACCGCCTTCCGACGCGAGCGCCTTCCTGGGACTGCCAGGACGGACTGCCATTTCGCACGTGTGGGGTGGTGCCAGGGGGGTTCATGTAGGCAACTATGGCAGTCCCATGGAGTGTCTTCCTTTGCAGCTTTGGGAGCTTCATCCACTTCTGGTTGGAAGGGCTGGTGTGGACATCCACTTCATCCATTAAAGCTCTCCACTGGCTGCAGCTTCTCGGCTTTTCACAAACCTTTTAGACTCCAATCACGACTGGGGTCCACGCCCAAGACGGCAAGCGATCGTGTGGCGTCGTGTGGGGATTGTGTCTGAGACGGTGGAAAAACGGTCGGTCTTGTAACCAGATCGATCACAGACCGGGTTCTGAGGTCTTAAAGACCCCACCAATGGAGGTCACGTTCTATTTCCGGTGTTCGGTCTGTGTGATAGAAAAGAGCACCGGAGCACCTTGAAGCACCTGATGTCTTTCAAGAGCGTTTCTGGGACAAGATGTCTTGATCTCTGTGATAGAAATCGACCCATACAACGAAACAACCATGGGCAACCAGTTGCATCGTTCGACCTTGCGGAGCTTCCTTGCAGCTCCGCAAGGCTCTGCAAGGTCGTTCTTCTCCATGCCTCTTTTTTTCACCGATCTCTGCGAACTCGCCGGCCGAACTCACTCTCAAACCCTCAGTGGCCACTTCGCTGGTTTCCCCGCCGAAGAGTCCCTATGCAGGACCTGCTCAGGTGTCCCACTGGTCGCAGGAGTGAAGCTTCGACATCTTTCAACCACAAAACACCTATCTGGAGCACCTGCGCTGGGCCCTCCCTGGTTGAAACTCAGAACCAGCCACCTAGCCTGTAGAATGCCAAACGCATCCTCTGACGGGAACAATCACCACGTCCACTGCTCCTGAAACCGACTTGGAACATGCTGTTGCTCACTGGCTCCATCACTGAACAACTTCATCGTAAACTATCAACGCATGTAGAATTCCAAAGCACCGTTGATTGTTTTCGTGTTTACCGAAGATCTATCACCAAGGATTGTGGACTCCAACATCCTGTCCTCACTTTCTTGTTGGATCCTTATTGCATACCCTCTCGAGACACTTGTATAGCTCAGTGTTCCCAAAGGGTGGGTCTTCGACGGACCGACGGACGACAGATTGCCCAGCTTAGATCCAACCAGTCCAGGGAAGACATGTTTGGGGTCCCACTCTGCAAAAATCCAGCCAAGCTTCTGGGTAGGTCGATTTCTTCGGACATCCGGATACAAGGTAGTTGAAGCGCTTCCACAAAACACTGTAAACCGGGCTGGGGTGTCTTCACAATCAGTGGTGGTTTCGTGATTTGTCCTTGAAGTGCAGGCGGAGAAAGAGTAGATTGAAGATGATTGACATGGAAGGAAAGCAGGGGGGTGTAGATTTAGCAATCGAACACCACTGAGTGATGTTTAACACCACTTTCTCCAGTGCCTTTTCACCCTTGGAGCCTGCTGTGGTCGCAGCTCAGCCACCCAGCCACCCTAAAGCTCGAATTGTCTGCGCAGCAGAGCCGAAATGATGCTCTTCAGTGGGTCAGCGACGGCAAAAGAGTCTTCTGAAAGGATTTGCTTTTATGGTGAGTGTGTGGAGAAACACGGTTAGTAGGAGAGTTTCTTTTGTTTTTTTGCAAAACCTTTTCTGTGCACTACTCTTCCGTTTGCCTTGGATCCAGCGGATCCATGACACTGGTTCTCAGATGTGGTAGTAGCATGTTGTAGCACTGCTTGCGTCTCCGGCCAGCCTTGTCAACTGCCAGGAGGACGTTTGTGACTACTTCTTGCCAAGCTGCCGACAGGTGTTTTTCGTCATCCGAGAAAGACTGTGTGCGGATCCCGATGGTTGATCTAGGGGCTGGCACTGGAATCATTCGTAACCAAAGACTCTGCTCTCGACTCGTTCATTCGTAACCAAAGACTCTGCTCTCGACTCGTGGCCCGGATATTCCGTGTCCAGGGAAATACCGTGATTCGATGTCCGAGATCTCAAACAGAGAAGCATCGCAGCATGGTGCCCTCGAAATGACCGCGACACACACACACACATACAGACACTTCGATAAGGTTCATTCAGAGCGATAATCCAGCGGAAGCTAGTTACTGAATACTTAGCACTCTAGTTGAATCCTTAGCACTCGACTCGACAAACGGAAATGTGGTAGGTCAGCGTACTTGTAGGTGTTTTAACAAGGTATTCCGGAAACTAGTTACTGAACACTTAGCACTCCTGAATTAACGGCATGCATAGAGACTAGACTAGTGCAGGTACATGGGACTGGCCAAGTCCATATCCCGCGATAAATCACCCAGCTTCGTTGGTCAAGGTTGGTGATATCGCGCCTTGACCCCCTGCATGACAAAAATAAGTGAATAAAACTCGTGGAAACAGGGTGGGACACACACACACACACACACACGATGCACCGTGTAAAGCATCACGAGTAATGGGTGATTCGAGGCCGACCGGTGATAGATTCGCACGAATCTGGGTGATCTGAAATCTGAACACTCATATAATATATTATAATATATTATATATGTAATACCGACCCTCATCTTTTGCAAGGCGCCTGTTTTCAAGACCCACCATCCCTCCATATTTTACAACCCCATGCCCAGACACTCCATGTATGGCCATGTATGGTAATATACCGATCAGTTGGGGTGGTTTTGGGGGTCAATGGGGCGGCATATATGGCAGTCCCATGGAGTGTCTGGGATACATGCTGCATGAACTGGACGTTTTTGCCGATTTCGGCTGACTCCACTGAAAGGACCATGAATCCAGCGGCTTCCGCATTCAAGCCATCGACAGGTGTGGGTCAAGACCTCTCCAAACTGCAAGGAGAAACCGCTTCCTGGCCTTTTCTGTGTTTTTTTTTCTGGTCTAGAGGATTCCAAAAAGAGGCCCTCTATATATAGGACTTCCACCCTCCAAGAGGTGTCAAATAGCCCCTGAGAGGTTGAAAAGGATGCCCAAAAACCACCCGACTTGGAAGGTCCAAAAAGGACTTCCAGCGAGGCGCCCTGAGCACGTGGAAGCGGACCATGTCGGACCCGTCTGGAACAAGTCACCTTGGACAAAGGGGTAGGGAACCTTGGACAAAGGTTTCGGGCACCACTTTTCGAGTCACGGCCTCGACCAATGCTGTAAGGACGGCCTCATGTTTGATTTGGAGCCTCTATATCCATGACACAAGTTTTCTCCCAGCAGCTCTGGCGCAACCATGCGCCCTCCGATCCCGTCCCACACCACTCTCTAGACTCTAGCCGCGAGGACGAGGGCGTGAGCAGCCCCAAGAACACGAGACCGGAGAAAGAAGGCAAAAACTGGGCCGAACAACTTCCTAGACCATCCTGTTGATTTGTAAACACATCCCACATCAAGAGGTTTCAGTCCAGAGGTTTTACAGTCCAATTTGTTGGGGTTTAGGAAAATCAAGGAACATCAAGAGACCAGACACTGTCTGCATGTCGTGGCTTGTTTGTACCCAAGGTAGGTCTCCATTGGCCCAGGACCGGCTTGGCTCCGGTCGACATGGTGAACTTTTCGGCTCCGGCTCCAAATGAATGAATCCAGGGCCGCCCTCTCATGGTTCACATCGACTCCACTAAATGCGCCCTGACCAGCCTGTTCTCACCTGGATGCCCCCAGAGGGGGGTCGTGCTTGGAGGCCAAGGAATCATGACAGATCATGACAGTTGGACTTGAGAGAGGAGGGGGTGAACGAAAGGTAGCAGGCAATCACAAGCAACCCTGGTAAAAGTCCATGACGGCGTGAACCGGCGCAGGGGGGATTTGATCCAGGGGGGGGGCCCCCCCCCGACGAACAGAATCAACTCTTACTTACAGGACCAAACTCAATGCACAATCCCAACTCCTGATTGTAATACATTTTTGCTAAAGCAAGGAGAACTCAGGTAGCTCAAGCTACCTTTCGTGATTTGCTGACACTCTGACTCTGACTAAAACATCACATGGAAGTGGAACATGGCCCCTTCTGCATGTCGCTAGCTTTTGTCTTGACGGTGAAGCTCCGGTACGCGAGTCGGAGTTTAATAAGGGAAGTATACGGGAAAAAGGAACCTCCCGAGAAGGGGATCACTCAGTTTCAGAAAAATCACCAGCATCAAGTAGCCAACTAGCACCCCTCAGGGTGTCCTGGGTGTCCTGGCTTGATCTGGGCGGAAGCTTATAATTACAACCGAAAGCACGCGACAGCACGGCCAGTTGATGGATCCAATCTGGAACTCTCTGTCGTCCTATCCTGTCGGACTCATTCGACTAAATATGATTACATATTAACCATAGTCAACCTTGCCATGGAAGAATACAACGGATTTCATCGTTGTGCATCAGAGTTGATCAGCACCAAATTGATTCCATACTGAGCCGCGAGACCAATTGAGCCTCGCAACACGGCCCGAAAAAATTCCTCAATGTGGACGTGACATGCCCAACTTGGCAACCTGAGATTGCCTATCGCTTGCCTCTGCCAAAAGAAAGCGTCGTAAATTTCACCTGCCGAAAGCGCTGATTTGGAGGGACAGGAGCAAGGAAAGAAAATAGGAGACAGCACCCAGACCAGACCATCCACGGGACTGCAATAGTTCCTTATAGTTTCTTACATGGATGGGTTGTATGGGTCATTTTCTATGGGGTAGATATAGATGATTGTAACTCCAGTCCCAGGGATGGTCTTGAACAGTCCGCAGGGTCCGCAGGGTCCGCATGTCCACTCTTTTGTTTGGAGAGGACAAGTATATGTAACCCTCGTGTTGGACAGAAAACACCAGGGTTCTTGTGCACACCAGGTCTGCACTTCCAGGTCTACTGAGGTTCGTCTGCAGTCCCAAGGGCTCTAGTCTGCTCCCCCCCGAAACTCGGTTCGGTGGGACTGCAGTGTGCCAGGAGGGTCCAGTCATACCGAACCTGAGGAGATACCTGCTTAGGGGACTGGAGTGTGCAAAGTGATACCTTTGTTTTGGCAAGGGGTCTCTTGGATGCGTTTGGACCTGCAGATAGGATGAACATTCTTGGTCCATTTGGGCCACACAGTATGACCCGAAAACAACTTATATACAAGTACTAACAAACACGACAAAGAACCCCAAACAGATTGATACTTTATCGGTCTCTTTATGACAAGCAAGTTTCAACAGTGCATATGGCGGCAATAAATAGTCTGACACTCAGACTCATTTACCCAACAAACATATAACAGAACATCCATAACCCATTGAAATGACATGCCCTTTCTAGGTATACGGGGTTGGGGTCTCCCGGGTAGCTCCTCCTTAGCTCCTGGACATCTCCTTACATCGCCTCATCACCCACCCCGAAGTGCTCCAATTGCAAGGATAAAAGCATTATACCAGGGCCCCTAAGGGGTGAGGGGTGTCTAGTAATAGCATGTAATAGGCCCTTAGAGGTTAAGGGATGTCCATGAACCACCCCTTAGGAGGCCCTGGTAGATTTTAGTAGCTGTTTGCTACTAGTAGTAATGCCCTTGTTACTAGTAGCGATGCACTTGTTCCTATGTGTTCCTTGTTTTTTTTTCAAATTCCAGGCATCGGAGCACCAGCTTGGGTGCATCAACCAAGAGTCTACAGTATGGCGTGAATGCAGCCCACACCTGATCGAACACTGGACACCTCCAAAGACCACCGTCAAAAGCTGAGACCTGGTTGTCAGCTCCTCCGGGAGCTCTTTCTCAGCCACACCAAACACTCTTTACATTAAATGCATCCATGTTTTTGCTTACTTCGACGGAGAGCCGGAACATGTGGATTTCTCTCCAAACTCAACAAGCGCAGTCAACCGATTCCTTTTTGCGGCATCCCCCCCAAAAAGACAGCGCGGCCATACAATCCAAGTGGCACATCCGCGGCACATCCGCATCTAGGAGTCCATTCCGGCAATGGCTTTAAGGACTTCCTCATGCATCATGCCATTCGAGGCAAAGAGTGCTGGGACCCCTACGGTGCGACCAGCTGAGAAGGATAAGGGCCGGCCACGCACATCCGTCACCTGACGCGCAGGATCCGGCAAGTCGAGAAGTCACCGCGTTGGTGGGAAGACCAAGGCAGTAGATGGGCGCCTGCGCCTGCGCCTGCTTTTTGTAAGTAATAGATATTATATCGCGCATGATCAATATCCTCTTGATTTTTATAGTCATCCTCTCTCCATGTTCGAATTGGACCTCGCCACCAAAGCCTGCCCTGGTCTCCGTGGTCTCCCTGGTCTCCCCAGGCCTGCCCTCCGGCTTCCTGTACGACCATGGCGCCCGGCGCGATGTCCCAAATGGATTGATCACGATCGGAGAGCCGCAAATAGAGTGAGGCTTCGCCCCGCGCCAAGACTCCAAATTTGCACTGGCTGTCCATGCCTCGAATCGGCTTTGGCTTTCGGACCCCAGTAGCATGCCGAACTGGTCACCCCACCGGGTGAAAGATTGGTTTGGACATGAGCGACCGAAGTACCATGTTTTGAGCACAGATTTTAGACCAAAGTAAGGTCAAGCGATGAAGCGACTTCACCGAACTGTTCAATGAATCACTCCCAAGGTGGGACTCTTGGGGGGAACAAAGGCAAGAGTGATCTGAAGTATGGTCCAGACGGTTGGGAGGTCACAAGGATTCATTGGTCACACGAACTCGCACTCCAAACCTATCTGTGGGTGCTGAACTCGCTTGGATTGATCCGAATCAGTGTCCGGACTCTGAACGCCCCACATTCGAAGCCGAGGATCGCTTGAGGATATGACCCAGGCGCTCCATGTATGGTATATTTACCGATCAGTTGGGGTGGTTTTGGGGGTCAATGTAGGCATATATGGCATACATGGAGTGTCTGGGTGATGTCCTTTAGATCGCGCCGCGAGAAACCACCGGACCTACCTGTCCAGGACCGAAATTCTGCAAGGAGGGTGTTTTGCGTCGAAGTCCCAAACTCCGAGGATTTTCCAACGACGGAGTGGCGAGTGTGTATGCACTGAAATCAGGATTTGGTATACCAGTATACTGGACCCTTTACAAACCTGTTGTCTTCTTTAGACAGTTGGGTCACATGACCAAACCGAAGGGGCCCCCGGGGGCCTCTTCTCAGATTGGCCTTGCTTTCTACCCCAGACGACCGGAAAAACCGCGGCAGAAAAACAACAACAACCCGACTTCCTCCCACACCACCGGGACGACTGAACCGAGCTGAAACCGAGCTGCGCCGAGGCGGCCCAAGCTTCAAGCGTTCGGCGATCTGGGCGTGTTGGCTGTGGCTGGAATGCGCCGACTCGTACGATTCAACGTACCTGGAGCAGCTGTGGGCTGTGATGGTTGTAAGTATAGTCCATACAAGAAGGTCCGTTTGACGAGTCAAGGTTCGGACAATTGGGAGGACGAAGCTTGGAGGGTGCTTCCGATTCTTTGGCTTGGGGCGTTCTGTGAGGTCAAATTATGCAGAGCTGGGAAGCCTTTCACCTCCAATAAGCTCATATATAGTGGATTGATATGGTATACATTGATAACTAGTAGGTCCTACTTGCCACGAATATCAGTATAACCATGTACAATGAATCTGGACTGTTGCATACCCCAAGATCTCGCATGAGTTTGACACTTGCACCAAGTTTGGATCCAAAAGGGGCGTTGGAGGAACCTTGCGGTTCGGACTCTGCAGAAGCGTCCAGCAGTCCAGAAAGGTTGACCTGGTCTTAGTAGTGTCAATGTTAACAGTAGTCTTGTCCGATTGCAAGTGGGTCTTTTCCAAACTAAGTGGAAAGGAAAAGACATACTCGAACCCATGGGGATAGCCATGACATCAAATTCATACGAATCTGAGAGTTCTGCTTCTTTGGTAGACTGGGTGGTTCAGCTGGTGGGCGACCGAGGTTCACCAAACCTTGCCAAGCAAGGTTGAAGGGGGTTTAATGGTCTGGTCAGTGATAGAGTTGACATTCCCTGGAATTGTCATGGCTAGCTGGAACATGGCCCCGATTTCGGATGACCATGTTGCGAATACTCAACAGGCGGTTTTCACTCCACTTCCATGAGAAAGAACCAGGGAGTGTACACCGATGAAGCTTCTTCAAATCGCTGTGTGGAACGGAACAAACAAACCAATCTCAAATGCTTCGCTTCTTGCTCTCAGTGTTAGAAGCACATTCTTGGGCGATGTCCACGAGACATCCACCAACTCACTGTGGTGAGTGGAGCTTCCCTCCAAAAAAATTACGGAAACCAACTCAAACCAGATCCATTTGTGGGACCGTGGCGGCCTCCCCTCTTCTGTTCCACCCACAATGGCTGATAGCCTGGGAACGACCACCTGGTGTGGTAGTGTCAAATCCTTGGTAAAACCGGTGGTCGGTCAACCTCACCTGATTTATAGTATTACAATTATATATAGAGAGCGGGTGGTCATGGGGCCTGGGTTTTGGTTTTCCCTAAAATTTTAGGTACATGCTTTAGTGGCAGCCCCTCTCCATATAAACACACATATCTATTCTTGCTCTCACTCTATATGAACAAATATATTATGGTTTGGAAGCAGCAATCAGTCATTCAGATGGTTTGGAACAAGATAATTAGAAAAGAAGCATGACATAAAAGTGGTTATTTTAACAATTGTCCTCTAGATCTCTGCTTATAATTATGTTTAGATTTGGAAAGATTGTGTATAGACTCTTTTATGTTATAAAAGATTCTTTATAGATCTCTGCAGATAATCATGTTTAGATTTAAACAACCATATAGAAACCTTGTATGTTAAAAGCTTTCTTCTAGATTTCTGCGGGCAAGAGCTTGCATTTTCAAAGCTTTCCTCAGGATCTCTGGGAAAGTAGATATCCCTATATGTGTTTTCATGAAAGGAAAGCTCTTGAAAGAAAGACTTATTTATTGATATATAGCATGCTTCAATTGACATGACCATTTCCAGAGATCCAGAGGAAAGCTTTTGAAAGGAAAGCTTATATATAGTTTTATTGTAGAATTGATCATCCCCAGAGATCTAGAGGGAAGCTCTTGAATTAGAAGCTTGTACATAAAACATGTTTAATATGTATATATTATCTCCAGTGATTACTGACAATAAATAAATCTAACTATTTACTTCAAAAAAGAGTTTTAGTCTTGTTCCCAGCACTTCCAGAGCAAAAAATACTGTAAAACACGGGGTTTTGTAGCATGTGTTTTCTTAAACTAAATAGACTAGAGCTAGAATAGAATTAGGTAGAATTAAATTGGATTTGAGTTAGAGCTAAGATAAAACTGAAGTAAAACCGAATTTTAATAAACTTGTATTGAACTATAACTATAGCCTAATTGAAATTAGATGAGATTTGAATTAGAAAGGAATTAGAATTAAAATTAGAAGTTCGCCAGAATAAGATGTAAACGCTTGAGCTATAAGCACAGAATTACGCTCGCAAAGATTTCCAACCGTTTCATGTAAAGGACAGAGTGTCCTCGCAACTGCATGTCAAGCTGTTTGGAAATGCAAGTGGCAACCGCATTGATACCAGTCAGCAGTTAATGCACTCAGACTTGTATATGGAGATTTGGACAAGGACGAAGGAAGTGTTGAGCTCAGACGGTTTCAGACGTAAGCAAAAAGAACAGATGCCTTGAGGTGAGAAGTAAGTTCAGATGCTAAACCAAAAAACCTTGAGAAAACACAAAAAACACAAAAACAATTCTGAGAGACTCTTGCTTGGACCCCCCAAAATCAGAAGAATCAGAAAACCAAAAAACCTTGGGGAAACCAAAAAAACCAAAAAAACCAATTCTGGGGAAGTCTTGAGGAAAAGGGGGTCCAGCCAAGAGTCTCTGAGAATTGTTTTTTTTGTTTTTTTTGGTTTTCCCAAGGTTTTTTTGGTTTTTTGGTTTTTCTGATTTTGGGGGGTCCAGCCAAGAGTCTCTGAGAATTGTTTTTTTTTTGTTTTCCCAAGGTTTTTGTTGGTTTTTTGTTTTTTCTGATTTTGGGGGGTCCAGCCAAGAGTCTCCCAGAATTGTGTTTTTAGTTTGTTTGTTTTCCCATGGTTTTTGGTTCTTTTTGTTTTTTTCTTATGTGTTTTTTTATCCTTTATGCATATTTATCAGTGTTTTTTTTGGTTTTGATTGTGGCACTGATGCATTTACCTAATATTTATGAACATTTATGGAAAACCAAAACCCAGGCCCCATGGCCACCCCTTCTGTATATATATATATAAATATTATACATAATACCAAAACGATGTCCACCAATGAAATATAGCAATATCTTTTAGTAATATTTGTGATTTCACAGCTCCTTCCGGCATCTTCCACCACTCGCACCCTTCCTCGCGTCCGCGCTTCTCGCATCCGCCGCACGTGGCATCCGCGCCCCTCAGAGCGTCCACACGGACGGCGTGTTCCGCCCCGTCGTGAAGGTTCAGCTGCACACAGCCGAGGCCCTTCGCGGCGTGGAAAACGCAGCCGATGGGACTCTCCGGATCGGCGAAGGACACCTGAGAGGTAGAGCTGCGAGACAGGGACCCACGAGTCCGGAGGGTTTGGAAGCTGGTGGATTTGTTCCAAGATGGTTTTGGTCTGTAGCGTTCGGGCGCTATGCTCGGTGGAGGCCATCAGTAATTGGTCAGGTTGGAGGCCATTGCTACTAGTAACAAGAAGCTACTAGTAGCAAGGACGCTATTAGGTGGAGGCTGAAACACTTGGAGTTTCCTGATTTTTGCGGGATGCGACGCTGTTTTTCTTGACGCGAACGAAGAGGCGGTGGCGCCCACTTTGGTTGGGAAGAAGGCATCTTTTGGCCCCCGTGCTTAAGGGGGGAAGGAGGAGGGAAAGGTGTGGCATAGGCCGGCAGTGGTTTAGGCAAAGGATGGTGAAAGATGTGGTGAGGGGTGAAGAGGCCAAAGTCGCACTCAGATCCTCTTAGACTCTATAAGCGCTCAAGTGCTCGCTCAATTCCTTCAATACCTTCCATTGGCGGCACCTACAGCTTGATCACCGTGCCACTTCTTCATCCGCCAACCCTCACACTGGCCTATCAATTGAGACATAGCCGAGGGCCCAACCCTCAAACCAGGACACCTGGCAGTGAGGATAGATAACGATCTGCATGCCTTGGGTCTATCCCATTACCAGGGCCCGTTTTGGATGATGGGGCCTGGTTGCAGGCCGACATCTCGGACTTCTCTCTAGTGATTGCATGCCAACATCTCCTCTCGAACACTTCTCGCCCAAGGGGCCGCGGGCGAAGCCGAGGCGCTGGTAGGTTGGGGCATCCCAGCGCAGAGACCAGGATGTCACCATCCTTCACCAGACAAAGGCAGATCGCATACCTTAGGGATTTGCTCCATGAGAGCTGGGTGAAGCCCAGTGAAGCCGAAGCAAGCACGACTGGAGCCCTAGAGCCCTACCGTTTCAGGGGTTCACGAAATCGAGAGTGAAAAACAACCATGACACCGTTTCCGCACATCCATACAAAACCACCCTGACTCGAGTTGACTCGATATAGGCTTCCCGGAAGAACGACCAATGAATGACACAGGTTTCTCCGGAAAAAAACAACAGAAACACGGCCAGTTGGCCCAGGATACTGCGCCTTCCGCAGAAAGCCTTTGGTGCCATCGATGGGGTCCAGCACCCAGAAGGTACCCAGTCCTCCGCTTGGTTGGACGAGCAGTCCGAGCAGTCCACGTGTACCACCTGGAGTCTATACACGATACACCTAGAGCCTACCTCTATTTTAGACCACAAAGCACTCAACTTATGATCTTTTTCTATCTTGTTCTATCCAAGTCAATTGGGCTCCAGGCACACTAGATAACCCTGATGAAACTGGGGAGATAGATCTATATACTGTAATGATATCCACTCTATAGATGTCTGATTATTTCTGTTTGGAAGCTTCTCGGAATTTGAAGGAGCTTGAACGACCCTCGTCTTGGGAAATGCCTTCGAAAAGAGCCTTCGGCCTCGCAGAGTGAGTCGTGCGGACCGCACGACGAACCTACATGTGTTGGCCGGTTCAAATCACGAACCTACAACCATCTACAAGCCATTTCAACACTGTTTTGATAGGTCCCTCTTTTGGGTGGTTGCTGCTCCAAATTCAGTCTTTGGATGCCCGAATGAACGCTCCCCGACCTCCTCACACGCCGACCGTGCGACCGGAAGCGCTAGCGGACCGGAAGATGAACGGATCTTCATCCGGTCGGTCTGGTCACGGTGGGATTGAATGGTCATCTACCCTATCCCAGACACTCCATGTGTGCCATAGGACTGCCGCCCCAGACAGACCCCTCTGGCACCACCCCAACTGATCGGCAGTCCTATGGCAGTCCCATGGAGTGTCTGGGTATGGATCCACTGACACCAGGTCGGTGAGGACGGAGACTATGTATGGCGGTCGGCAGGAGGGTCCAAGGATGCCTTCTGAGGTACGGTGGATCCGTGGATCCATAGGGCTAGTAAGATCACCCTCTCAAAAGCATCATGAGTTGTTTGCAGTCCCTTGGGACTGGGGTGGTTTCCTGTTGACCGATCCATTGGGGTGGTAAACAAAAACCATGGGACTGGCATATGATTCTGACATCCGGGGTGGTTTTTTAAGATGTCTCAATGGAATTGATGTATATAGGCAAATACCTGAAGTCTCAAAAGTTTCTTTGCTTGGGTCATGTCCCATGTCCGGTACTTGAAGTGGGGCCAGGTGTAGTCCAGTCTTAGAGATAGTTCCTGGAGAAAAAATCAACCCAAGAATCTGGGCATATCTGGGCCCTCAAATCAAAGGGCTTTCAGTGTCTTTCACCCCTTTCTCAGAGGTTAGTGTCCAACCCCTCCGAAGAGGTCGGGTATGTGTGGACTCAGGTCCAAGCACCTCATTCAGATGCCCGTTCTCGGCCGACCGCGCCGTGAGAACGCGCGAAGGCCACGCGCCTCCTTCGTGTCTTCCTCGATCCAAGGCATCCAACACCTCCTCCAGCGTCACACCCGGCAGGAACTTCGCCACGTGACCGTGCACCTGTGGGAGTCCGGAACCGCCCACGTGGGAGTCCCACGTGGAGGCCGTCGCGGACACGTGAGGAACCACATAGGATGGGTTCAGAAATCATCAAACATGTACTGTAAATGTATGTAGACCCGGGAAGATTCACCATGAACCTGAAAATGGACCCTTGGAAGACTAGCTTCTTCTACAAACCAATGGCTTTCAGGTTCCATGTGGGTCTCTTCCAGGGCCTCATCTCTGGTCACATTGGTTTGTGGATCACCGTTGACACCAAGGCAAGAAAGGTCCAAAAGGCCTCAAAAAGGATACATCCGCCAACAACAGCCTTTTAGGACATATAATATTAAAAAAAAACATATTGTAATATCATATAAAAACATAGTATAATATCATATATGTAATCTATTACATCTCTTGTGCGGGCTATTTATATAGACACCCGTTTTGGAGGCTAGCAAAACCTGGGCCTGCGACACGTCGCTCGCTCGCATGGCGGCGGGCTTCCCAAAGCACTCCTTGTTTGGGTTCCATATGCCTACATCGACCCCCCCAACCACTCTAATGCAGGAAAATATGGCATACAATGAAGTGTCAGGGAATGTGTTGAACCAATGGGAGAGTACCCATATCCACAGCTAGGTTTCATTAAACATATCCCGTCTTCTGAGATTGGCAAGTGTACACACTGACCGGAAAGTGGATGGCATGGCCATGCATCTTTGGAGGACCAAGCGTTTCGTCTACAAACAGAGTTTTTCATGGATTCTTCACTGGGCAGAAAGGTCTCCCTACACCACACCACCCATAAAAACCGCGGTGCCACGTGCACCACGATCGGATAGGCGCGGAAAAACAAGTAGAAACCCACCTCACCTTGCCCGCTAAGGCCGCATTTTCACGCAAAGCTTTGGCATCTTCTTCTCCCACCATCGGTAAGGGATATCCTTGGCGACTTAGAGAGGTTCCACAAGGGGGTGGGCGGACCCATACCCCACAAGTCCAAAGACGTACCGAATTGTCCAAAGAACTCCTTGAGTATAGTGTTTTTGTATCACCAACTCCAGTATAAAATTTGGTTGACCTGGATAGATGTCCAACCCTCACCTGTCCAAACTTCTGATCAGCCTCTGATGACTCAGCCATACATGTGAATAGCCGAAGGTTGGATCACACACACCTCTATGTCTGCAATGTTTACATACATGGGGTGGTCCAAGTGGCTCCTGTCGTACTTCCTCAGAAGGTATTTGGACCCCCCAAACCCACCCCAGTCCCAGCTTCTTAGAAGGTACTTCGAGGCCTAGGGGTGGTTCTAGGGTAGTTTTTAGGCAAATATGTGTCTGGGCACCACTCGGCATTATTCACCCTTGGGGACACCTCCGACTACCCATGAAAGTTCTCTCTCTCTCTCTCTCTCCGGTGACCAACAACAAGGTCGCAAGCTCTTCTCACGACCGATTTCAGCATTGCGTTGGTTCTTCTGTTCTCACTCATGGCTCAGGCCATGATATATATATATATTATATGTAATATATGTCTTCTGATTGGGGAGCATCAAACCTGTCGCAAAACTGAGTGAAGACCCTACATGTGTGCACGAGATGTCACATCAAACACACTGGATTTGATTTGCTTGTTTAAGCTTCTTCGACCCTAATTAGACTATTGAAGACTTGAATGCAGCATTCGCTAGATCCTTGGTCTTGGACCTTTCGACCGACCCCTTACAGAATCTCTGGAGTGGACTCCCCAACTGACGGGCAGAAACCACTCCATGACTCCATGAGACGGGGCAAAGACCAATTTTCTTATCATCGATCAAGGCTCCGGCTCCAAAGGCTGACCACTAGAAGGCGGTTGGCCCGTTGGGCGGCGAAGGCCCGTTGGCTCGCATTTTTTTTTTTTTTCGGCTGCGGGTTGGGCTGTTCGATCTTCCGGGAGGCTTATAGGACTTCGATCTCTTCCTTCCACTTACTAGGAGCAAGGACGCCTTCTACATAGGGGCTCCTGGCCTTACTACGAACGGAGCGAGGACGCCCCAAGTCCCAAGTCCCAGAACGAGCTGTCCGAGCTGTTCTGTCGCTGTCCTGACCGGAGGCTCTCTGGTCCAAAAGCAAAGTGATCAACGCCTGGCAAGCGAAGTCCGCCACTGTCACCTCAGGACCGACACCACCGAAACAGCAACTGGTGCTGAGACGGACAGGACACCGAAAGGATGAAGTGTTTAGATATGTTTAGATATGTTTAGATCTCTGAATGTATTATCCAAAGCCAGGTTGCTTTTGGAGTGCAAGTGTGAAAGAACCATGGGTTTTAGGATTGTTTTATTTAGGATTGTGGTTACGAACCACCCTGAACTTCCCAACGGGTGCAGCATCACCAGCTTTCGCAAAACCGTCCGATCATTCGTGAAATTTACATACCTAATTCATGCCTACAAAATCCAAATCAAGTCGACTGGTGCAAACATGTACAAGCTGTCACCCTTAAAAGTGCCCGCTACACAAACAGCACCCTGCTGCTCTGCGCGAGCCGAGAGCACGAAAAGCTGGGTGAAACCCGAGGTTTGCAACTACTTTCCGGTATGAAGCCCTCTAGTTACCCACTACAAACACCTACTACATCCTACTACAGTACAAACCACCTTGCTCCACAGCTGGTCTCATTCAACGGGGAGTCTTCTTCAAGAATGGTCTTCATGGTCAGCAACTTGATGGAAACCTTTGTGTTTGTTTTTCCGTGAATTACAACGCTTCCTGTACTCGCTTCAAAGAGGAGCAGGTCTTGTCTTGTCTGAGGCGTCGCTTCACACGTCGTCCAGTCGAACACAACCTCCTCCGGCTCGCCAAATGGCTGGAGAGAAGTCCCCCTTAGAGAGCACCTCATCCTTCAGTAGGCTCGCTTGTAGAAAGGAGGTGAGCTCGCAAGCCTCACTTTCAGAAGCGAAGGATCCAAACACGCGGAAAAAACCGAGCATTCTCCTGCCACGCCTCGGAGCCGTCAATTGGGGCTCAAACACCGGTCCTTCCGACGTCCGCCCGGTGGTCCCGTCGTTTCGGTGAGGGGTCCAAAAGGCCCTTGGTCAAACGAAGGAAGGACTGAGCGGATGTGAGACACCGTGAACCGGCGCCGCTCTTGCTTTACGCACAGTGCCATGGAGCAGGGAATGAAAGGGAAATGCATGGGCACAAATTTGCCGATGTACCAGCCACCAAGGACGCTACGTTCGGGGCTCCTGGCCTTACTAGCATGCTGCCTTGGGGTGGCCCCCTTGAAGTGCCCGTGAGGACCCACATCCACTCACCAAGAACGAAAAACCACTCAACTCCAAAGTCCCGGTATCATCTCCGGAGTCAAAGACGAGACGAAGAATGGTCTGACTAGGTGAACCGAGTTCAGGAATTTCCTTTACTTAAAGTCGGTCAAAATATGGTCATTGGACTTCGAGTGATCTGCACTCTCTGCCGAGTCCAGACCACCCACGTCACCCAAACCCAAACAACGCACGACCTTTTCAAAGCGAAGGACCCTGGTGTTTCACCGAGAAAGCGAAAAGAAGGAGGTCCGTCCTTGGGACGAGGGGTGCAATTGGTATATATGGCCTATTCCATCCTATTCCCGACAGGCTTCCTGGTCCTGACGTTAGAGGCCAGGTCCACCGACCTCTTTTCATGGTCCAATGGAAGGGAAAGCATTGTATTAGCTTCTTCATCTGGGTATCTCTCCCCTCTATCCTCCGTGCTTTGCCAGTGGAATCATTTGCCAGGCATTTTCTTGAGAAATGGTCTCTATAGAATAGGTGGCAAAGGATAAATCTCCATAAAATAACTTGCAAAGGTGTTTCTATAACATGCAAAGTCAGATCCAGCAGTAACAAACGGTCATTTGAAGAACGACAAGTGGAACCTCTATAGAATGATAAAACCAGATCTCACTAGAAAAACAAGAGGTCTCTATTTAAAAAACACAGCCAGATCACTGAATGAACATAATTGGATAACATAGTTTCACATTTAAAATGCAAAAACAGGTGCATCAAACTGTTTTGGCAGCCTGGCCAGAACACCAAAAAAAAAAACTTTGGCACTTTCGGAGCGGTGGGGCACCGGTGCGTTCCCGCCTTGACCACCACCTCCCGCAGCATCGCTCGCAGTTCCGCCAGCTCCATGGAGGCGTCGGACGACCCAAACGGAGCGGAAACCGCTGCGTTGGGGGCCCACGTGCGACTTTGGCTTCGGTGTTGCGTTGGCTTCGGGTCCCCGAATTTGGCCGCTGTTTCGGGCCGTTTTCTCAGCTGCATGATCGGACGGAACAAAAGACACTGGGGACCTGAGGACTCCTGGAATGTATGATGGACTATGAGCATCTATGCGATCTATGTGCTATTTTTCATCAAACTCGTTCCAAGACAAATCTGGGTCTGCATGGTTGGGTTTCTTTTCCTCATGTTTTTTTGAGGCTCGATCCTCTGGTGACGACGCAAACCTCCTCCCTTCACGAGCCGACAGCTGGGCAGATCGCATTTTCCGCGCGGATCCGTCGCCACCGGCGAAATCGGCCACCGAGTGCAGCGCGGCCGACTCAAGGGATCGTCCTCCAGGAGTTACATGGTTTGGTTCGACCCATCCAGGGGCTGTGGATATGACAGGGGCACCCCAGTCTCTATAAGTGCTCTAGGCACCAAGTTTGGCACATCTTTGGGATTCCTGGTTGTTTTTTGGGGGGTCTAGACCAATGAGTCGTGTCCGAGGGCTTTTCTCCGTCTCTTGTTGTTTCTCTCAAGCAGGGGGACGGGTCACCGCTGATACTGCCCGTCCAACGAAGAGGGTATCAGTTGGTGCTGATGCAGTGGGGGACGCTCCACTGTGTACCTGCACCTATACTGAAACCTAAATGGATAACAGAAGGAAATGGTTCTCGGCGGACTGTGTGCGTCGGTTCCTTTCCTTCTGTTGTCCTTCTCTATCTATCTAATGGTACGATTTGTCAGTCTCGCCCCTAGCTAAAAACAGGAGGTTTCTTTTCCTTTTCTCTAGCTATGCAACAGGAGGTTTCTTTTCCTTTTCTACCTATTTGAAGCGATTCATTTGTCTCACTTCCCTATTATGGAACCTACTCCCCTATGCACGGCTTTAATTCAAGACTGCTAAGTATTCAGTAACTACTTCGAAACAATGTTTAACATTTCAATTTTGTCGACTCAGCCGCCGTGCGTTTCCCTCATCCCTTTCTTCGTGGATTCTGGCATTGGATGAAACTTTATCTAAGTGTGTGTGTGTCACCCCCTGTATCTAAGGGTTCCACCCCTTCTCTCACTTTCAACTTTTTGAGCAGGGGAGTGGCGCGCGGTCTTGGAGTCACCACTCAACGAAGACACTCCTTGAACCGCGGTGATATCCGGAAGGGACGCCTTCTGGACGTACCTGCGCTGAACACACTGACTCCAATGGTTCCCCTCGCCGCCTTTCGTTGCTTTCATGGTCCTTCTTCATGCTACAGCCCCTCAAACCTTGGTCTTTTAGCCACTTGCAGCCGCCGAGGGTTTTGCAGCACGCCACCGCAGTCACGTGACAAACTCTTTTGTTCAAACATCTACACATTTGCGGACTCTGCCGCCTTGCCGTTCCATCGCCATTTTACCTGGGAATTGAGTGTAACTGAATACAATTGTCAGAGTGTGTTTCGCTCAGCCGTCCCACTCGGGTGCTGAGTGTGATCCCCGTCATTGGGGCGCTGTCTCATCGTGCAAGCAGTAACTGACCTCACCACCTTTCACAGGAACTCCACTGGAAGTCACCTCCACGTCCACCGAATTAACTGCCACAACGGCCGCCGGGCCTAAACACGGGAACTGACAGTGTTGCAGCGTTTGCATTTTTCTACATGCTTTTCCGCACGATCTTGCATATGTACTCAAGCAATCTGACCTGAGATGTTTGACGGCTAAGTATTCACATGTACATGTGCTGCTAAGTATTCACAGGCCGGACAAATTAATCGTGCATTTTTTCCCCCTCCCTACCCCTGGGCCTCCTTTGCTACCCCACCCGCTACTCGGGAAACAGAAGGAAATCGCACTCAACACACTTGTGTGTTGGTGCCTTTCCTTCTGTTTCTCCTAGCCTATTGCTAGCTACCCGGGCGGTTTAAGACAAATGTCCCGCTCGCGCACTACTTTCATTTAACTAAGTGGGCCTCGTAACTACCCCTATCTTTCTTTCTTGCCCTCTTAGTCTGCTTTTGTTTTGTTTGCTTTGTCCGTCTTTCTAAGGCTTTTTAGGTGGCTATTAGTTTTTCGCAGCGCCAATATTGGCACTTTCTGTACAAAGCTCCACCTTCAACGTCCTACACACTTGCGCCGGAATCGGCTGTTTGTGTGTGTCACCCCCTGTATCTAAGGGTTCCACCCCTTCTCTCACTTTCAACTTTTTGAGCAGGGGAGTGGCGCGCGGTCTTGGAGTCACCAACGAAGACACTCCTTGAACCGCGGTGATATCCGGAAGGGACCCCTTCTGGACGTACCTGCGCTGAACACACTGACTCCAATGGTTCCCCTCGCCGCTGTTTCGTTGTTTTCATGGTCCTTCTTCACGCTACAGCCCCTCAAACCTTGGTCTTTTAGCCACTTGCAGCCGCCGAGGGTTTTGCAGCACGCCACCGCAGTCACGTGACAAACTCTTTTGTTCAAACATCTACACAGTTGCGGACTCTGCCACCTTGCCGTTCCATCGCCATTTTACCTGGGAATTGAGTGTAACTGAATACAATTGTCAGAGTGTGTGTGTCAGAATAGAATGTCCCTTTCTGGACCAATCCGTGCTTCACCAGATCTTGGCCTTCGCAGCTATACCTGATGCATTGCCTTTTGGTCCTGTGAATTGGATTCTGTACAGGTACACTCTTCTGCTTTCGTGGAAACAGTTCATTTCGATCCCCACCTTTGACCAGAATATCATCTCTGCGTTTGGTGCAAAACCCGCAAGAGTGCTCAGATTCGATGAAGATTCAAGGAAGTTCCAAGTCTTACGGTGTCTTTCATGTTTATAAAACAAATTCTCTCTCTCTCTCTCTGTGTCTGTCTCCCTCTCTCCCGCAGTCCCTCTCTGCTCATTCATTCATTTGGAAGATTATTGCTAGAGATCCCGTCGTACCTCCTCTCAAGTTCGGTACGACTGGACCCGAACATGGCACCCGGGCCCCCAGTCCCACCTTCTCAGAGGGTACTTGGATCCTTATAGGCATGAAAATTGCTAGCCCCTCCACTCCACTCTCAAAGAGTCCGACGAGTCTAGCGCAAGCTTCTTCCCCAAGAACAACTGGGTATCCATCAGCATTGACACCAGTCAGCTCTATAGTGATGGATCATATAACCACAAAAACCAACATGAACATGATGATGATCAATGATCAATAGAATCATGGTGATCAGTGTTCGTCCTTATATATATATATCGTCATGAGTCATTACCATCCAACTTCCGCCTCTCTTCGCGCCCCCCACGCCTCGCCAGTGGCGTGCGACATACACGCGGCCAGGCCGTCGCAGTCCCCGTCCGCGCGAGGGCGCAGCGGGTGATCCGTGGGCATTGCATTGCGGGTCTTAAGGACGCGGATGTGCTGGAGTCTGGACTAGTTTGGTTCATGAAGATTCGCAGATCTACAATAAGTGAATTGTCGAGTCCAAACCAAACAAAAGCTGCCAGTAACAAGGGCATCGCTACTAGTAGCAAGGGCATTACTACTATAGTAGCAAGAAGCTATTAGGTTGGAGGCCATCGCTACGAAGAACAAGAAGCTATTAGGTCGGAGGCCACTACTCCATACTACTACTACTACTACTACTACTACTACTACTACTACAACAGTAGCAAGAAGCTATTATCTCCAAATCGCCCCAGTTTCTCCGACTTCCGCGTCCCGACGCAACTCTTCGGGCGAGTGAGCGATCATTTCCGCGTCCCGATGAACAGCTCATTCTCTTGGTGGACCTTTGTTCGTCTGTCGGCTACTGGCTTGACCACATGGTTGTTGAAGTGGGAGCTTTCTTGGTGGGGTTGCCCACACCGAGAGAGCGAGAGAGAGATAGAGAGAGACCTAGGACGACCTTGAAGACCTGCGAGATCATAACACCGAGACCACCTGTTCTCGCTGGCTGCTGGGCGACCTGCGAGGCGCGGAGAGACATCCCAATGTTTTGCAGGGAACTTCCTGTACTTCGCAGCTTGGTCTTTGGATTTCAGAGGTCTTGTAGGTGTGACCTTCGACTTGACTGGCAGCTTCGACCTGAACAACTACGAAGTGAAGGGAAGAGGGACAAGAGAAACTGGTTTTTGGACCCAGAAGATCACTCAGAAACCGACAGGTTGGAGCGGTGATGTCTTGATAGAGAATGATAGAGGGGTCGATTTGATACCATATACCTGCATGTGCCTATAGTCTGCTCACTTGGCAAGCTGGGGGTATCTGGGTACATCATCAATCAACCTAACAGGCCATCCATTATGGGTTGGAGGAGTGGCTCTATGTAGATATATAAACTTCTGCTGCATTTGAGCCACATGCCCTCTAGGGAGCTGCAAAGAAAACCCCAACACGGATTCCAGGTACCTTCGACTGGAGGTACGACTGGAGGGCTCCTGCACAAGTGGCTTTGCCCCAGGCTTCCACGTGACCTCCGACCTGGTGGTGACAGTTCAATAGGCCTCCCGCAGTTCCTCCAAAACCAGGCTGGAAGATGTCAACCCACCCCCAGCTGGCCGCCAGGTTGACCCTGTTTTCCTGGGCTTCAAGCTTTCAATTTTCCGATGGCGACTAGAGAACAAACAGGTTGACCCTTTTTGTTGCTTGTTATCGCGCCTCGCAGGAGCTGAACATGACCACACAATCTTTACAGCTAAGGACACTACGCACGGTGGAGGCCATCAATATTAGGGAGGCCATCGCTAGTATAGTAACAAAAAGCTACTATAGGAACAGTTGCTGAAGACGTTTTACATGTAACAAATACTCCAAATCGCCCCCAGCTCTCCGTGCCGGTTGCCCGCGACGTTGGTTCCGGTTCTTTTCCGATACGCCGGTTGCGCGCGATGCGACCGGTGCGTCCCCAGTAACTGGGGAGACCGGGTCGTGCAGGAGCCGGGCGCTGCTCTGTAGGATCCACGATCTAGT